AAAAAGAGAGGTTAGTGTAGAAACACGGGTTCTATACTCTGTATTGTGGGATAGATAAAGATGAGAATAGGATAGGAATCATTATAGAATCATGAGGATAAACTTATTGAGGTAAGTATAGTTGGGTATATGATTATCTGATAATACTTGTAAGGGGTAAGGAGACAATTTATGTCATCAATGCCTAAAGTCCGCAAATAGGATTAGATGCACAAACCAAAACTAAACTCTGAGAAGATAGAAACCTTCTTCCAAGAAATTCCAATTGACGAACAAATCTTTATTGGAGGAGATCTGAATGGCCATGTCGAAAAATATAGATGGTTTCGGTTCCGGAGAATGGAAAGACAAATGAAGATGTTACATATAAAATCAAAATACTGAAACAGAGAAGTGTTACCAAGTGTATGTGATAGGGGATATCTACTAAAATGAAAGGTAAACAGTTGTAAGATCAGCAATATTATTTGGGTGAACGTTGGGCTCCAAGGTCCTACGTATCCACAAAAGTGTCATAAGAACACAGATGTAAAATGGATGTGCAGTCATTCAAAGATTAAACAGACAAAATTATCATATCTGGCAGAAGGTGTAAGTAGCACAGACGATTGGTCATGCCGTAAGTTTATCTTTAGATGCACCGATTTGTAAGTACGAAACCATGGTGATTGAAGATATTAAATGGTGATGAGGTAGACCTAAAACCACAATGAAGGAAGTTGTCTCAAGACCTATCATCTCTTGGAATCTATATATGCTGAGCAAAAAATAGAGGACAATAGAAGAAAAATTAATTGAGATTGAATTTTAGTCATGCGGGTACATATGCTTTAGGTCTAATGTTTGCTAGAAGTCTTCTGTTCTTGTTAGAGATTAATATGCCAGTAGGAAATCTAGAGAATCGTTACTGCAAGAAAACCTAAATATGTAAATATAAGGATTGTGAGGGGTTGAAATGGAGCAGCATGATAGTGAGGATTCATCTAGCCAAACCCAACTAGATTAAAATCGAGGTGTAAATGTCGTATCTGTGTAAACACAAGACAGAGAGAGGGAGGGAGAGAGAGATTGGGGGGGAAAAGAAGTTAATGCGTCACCAGAATCAGCAAATAAAGCTTCACCATCATTAATCATTATGCATGTACTATCGCATTGAGTGCATAATGATGGTAATTTCAATACATACTTCATAACAAATACTGACAACAAAGACATTAATGGTATAGAGGTATGAACAATTAATGTAAGGACAGCAAAAGTGAGTCGAGGTCACGCTCAGCTATCCAGATCTGCCAGCTCACAGATAGATAAGCAACAGAAGTTGAAATACTTGAAGATGTAATTGAAGCTGTTTTTTCCTCCAAAACAACAAAAAAATTGTTAAAGATAAAGAGAAGATGCACACCTGAGGAAATCCACCTGGAAAACCAATAAGGAAAAAATACAGTCAGCAAACTATATAATATTTGGCATTGAATACAATAAGATAAGCATTAAGCACCTGCATGAGCTCCAGAAGCTTGGAAGGAGTACATATCTCCATATCCTTGCTGTCACACAATGAAAAGTATTGAAGTCAAACCCATATTGGGAACAAACAGTATCTTAATAAAAATAGGTCAAGAAAAGTACCTGAGAGGATTTGCCCTTCTGTTCTGATGGTAGATTCGGGTTAGTGAAGTCCCTACTCAGAAACGGAAAGCACAAAATTAAAACTGTCCCGACAAACTATTAAATAAAAGCTTCTTTCATGATGCTTGAAAGGGGAAGAGAAAGCACTGAAATTGAACAAAAGTACCTTGAACGCTCATTATTGTAGTTCACTTGCAATTCATCTAGGCTAAATCACAAATAAATCTATGGTTAACACAGCTATCACAAGAAACGAGAGCAAAACTGGAAACATTTGCATGCAGATATGCAAGTACGGTAAATTGTAGAGCGAACTGAAACCTACTTAGAGAACTGTATGTCAAGCTGACAGCAGCCATCATATATATTACGCCCCTACAAGAAAATCGTATGCATTAAGCTTATTTTATCTCAAATAATAAACCAACCTGAAATAATCCAAATAAATTAAGTGATTTTATGAAGTCACAAACACACCTGAAGTGAGTTCCTTGCAGAAACAGCACTTTGTTGTAGTTGAAACTGGATTAAAGCTTGAAAACCTACGTAGTTCATAGAAAATATCAGCAGAAACAAGAGATTATGCAAGATATGGTCAAGAATGCATTAATGCAAGCATAAATATTAAAAGTCCGAATATCCTCCATGAAGCAGTAGAACCATAAGAATAAACAAATGATTTAAATACAAAATTGGAGTCCTATGATACAACAAAGAAATCCCCATTCCTCTCTTGATCCTTCTATAAAT